TGGCCCAAAGACAGCTTGCGCCAAAGCTCTAGGTGCGCCAGCCTCTCCTGTCCTCCCTGTGCCCTGGGTTGAGCTGGAGAGCCTTTGCTCTGACCCACACAGCTTTCGGCATGACAGATGATGTCTGCTCTCCTCCCAGCTCACAGGCCTGCTCACAGGCACACGGCGGGGCTGTGTGTGCCTTTACACGCCACGCCAACCCTTGCGTTACTTTTCCTAGGCTAACAGTACCGTGGAGGCCCCTGTAGCCCCAAGCCCGCTTCCCGAACAAGAGGGGAAGGAGTCAGAGACCCCCACTCCCCAGCACAACCCGCTCCATCCTCATCACCACCATGTGGCCAGCAGCGAGAGAGACACAGACCCGAGTGGGGACCACAGATCTGCAGGCCATGCTCACCACCACCACGGAAACCACGGCCAGCCCCATCCCAAGGGGCAGAAGCAGGTGGGAAATGAGCACTAGGCCAGGCTGGGCAGCCTTGCAGAAGAACCCTGTAGTGTGCAGAACACACCAACTCACTTCCCAGAGGCACAAAAGGACTTGCTTTGGGCTCTTGGTCACCAGCAGTGTTGGTATAACCACCCCCTCTCGCATCCCCCACGGGGGTCATGCACCCACGCCGTGACCAGGGATGAGCCTCCCCCTCAGACCCCTCGAGGTGCTGCATTTTCAGCCCCAGGGCTCCATTCTGAGCCTTCCTCTGCCGCTGCCAGCCTTTCCGTGCTCAATGAAGCCTGCCGTGCAAACCGGGAGGTCCCCGGTCACTGCTGGCTGACACTGCACCGAGCAGCAGGGCAAGGGTGGAGGGACCAGAACCGGGCCTGGAGCAGCACGCTCTGCCCAGCCTGGCACCCCCGGGTGTCCTGGCCGGGGAGCGAGGGGAGGGCCAGCGTGTGCCACGCAGGACGTGATACCAGGGGTTGGGGGCACTGGGAGCGGTGTGAGGCCACAAGTCCTCAGGGTCTAAACCCTGTAGCCCCATAGCTGTCACATCCTGGGAACCCTGCAGGCCCTGCACACGGGCATGTGCAGTGGTGATGGGTGGCCGCAAGATGGCGGCCTTGTCCCCTCTTGGAGTCTGAGGGGCTGTGTCCTTGGCCCACAGCGCTGGGAGGAGGGGGTGAGGATCCGGGGGGCTTTCCTGGGGGAGAAGAGAGCTCGGAAGGTGATGTGGATACGCCGAGTACGAATAAAACCTCTGTGAAGCGGACCCTGGTCTCTGGTGCCCTGTCCTCAGAGAGGGTGGGGGGCTGCTCCGCACTGGGCTGGCCCTGTGTTGGCACAGGGAGGGATTTGGGGCTGGATATGGACCCCATAAAGCATTCCCCAGTGCGGAGAACAATGGGGGTTAAAGGGGTTGATGACTGAAAAGACCCCAAGCTCTTCCTGCCTTGTGGTTACCTCCTGTCCCACTGTGACCCCAGGGCCTGGTCCAGTCCCTGGGCACATTAACCCTGCACTGCCAGGAGGAAGTTTGGCTTGGCACCCCGATTTCTGACGTGTGGGTGTGATGTTGGAGTGCCTGCCATGAGCTGCTGTCACAGGGCCACATGCAGTCCTAGACCATTGTGGGCATCTTGTCCCCATTGCCTAGCCTGGTCCCCATTGCGTGCACAGTGTTGGGGGCCGATCAGCCCTCAAGCAGCTGGGTGCTGCCTCCCTGGCAGACAGCCCTGCCTACCTGCACCCCAGGACACCCCCATGCCTGTCCCAGCTCTGCAGCTCTTCAGCTCCATCCATCATCCCCAGCCTCACTCAATGCCTCCCCTAAACTCCACATCTCCCCTCCGGGCCTCACAGTAAAGGTTTTTCTGCTCAGCATTAGGCAGCACCATGCTGTGGTGTGTGTCCTGCGGCTGATGCTCTGAGCTGAATTTCTGCCCCACTTCCTGGAAGGCTGCACCCCTCCACCCTGTCTCTGAGGGAGGATGCACTGCCTACCCACTGGGGCAAGAGCCAGGGGGAAGAGGAGCTGTTCCTGGTGGGGACAAGGGCAATGGGATCAGGTGGGTCTTTCTCACCAACCCAGGGCAGCCAGCCAGGCTCTCCCACAGCATGCTGGCTACCCCTCCTCCATCTCTCTTGCTCCCTCCCTCCTCCTCCTCCTCCCCCTTCCTCCTCTACCTGCTCCTAGCAGCCTGCAAGGGCACCTCTGGCTGCTGCTCCTGCCATCAATATTGAGGTTATCTGTTTCTTCTGGCAGCTGCTGTAATTGAAACAAAGCAGGCCGGGCCTCACGGGCTCCACTCCTCTCGCTCATTTTGCCGGTGCTGCTGAGACAACTAATTCATCTTATCGATGCGTGGTTGGCCTCCTTTCCACCAGATCCAGGCAGAGTCCTCTCCCCACCATGGCTGGTGGGAGCAGCCCGTGTCCCCGCAGCATGGGCAGCTGCTGGGTCCCGCTCTGGCCCAGCCGCTGGCCATCGACTTGCAGTGGCGGGGGGGCGG